CTTGAAATCCTGAGCTATCTCACGAACGAGTCTTTGAAAGGGCAGTTTTCTGATGAGCAGCTCGGTGCTTTTCTGGTAGCGCCTGATTTCTCTGAGAGCCACTGTACCAGGCCTGTAACGATGAGGTTTTTTGACACCTCCGGTAGCCGGAGCGCTTTTTCTGGCAGCCTTCGTGGCCAGCTGCTTGCGAGGTGCCTTGCCACCGGTTGACTTGCGAGCCGTCTGCTTGGTTCTTGCCATACTGTCTGCAACTTGTTTGAACGTAAAAGCAACGAGTGGGAACTGATAATCTAGTTAGAATACTGCAAGCACACAGTAGGCAACATTTTATATAGACACGAGGTGAGCCGACCTAATAGAAAGCGCTTCGGTCACGTGGTTTTAGTCCAATCGTGTAAACGTGCTGCAAACAATGCTAACGTGATATTGTGAGTTTCTAAACTATTTTAATTAATTTGCAATTACTGGAAATTTTTAACGTCATTACATTTCTCTAATTTAGCACCTTGATTAGCTGTTTTTATAATTAAACTTTTGGATGGTAATTAATTATCAATTTCCAAATTAAATGTTGCTTTACGAATAATTTAACCTACATACATCCCTGACAAAAGTGAAATCGTGCTAATCGTGTAATAAACCGTATGTATGAAATTACATATTTTACAAATTTATTCAATTAAAGGTCAGACGTTCAGGTTTTGCGTAAACGACGGGAACGAAAAATACAACGGAGTAAAAACAATCAATTAGCTGTATTTATAATTAAACATGTGGATGGTATTTATCAATTTACAAATGAAATAGCTTAGGCAGAAATGGTGCTACAGATCTCTTTAATCTACATACTTTCCTGGCAAAAATGTAACTTTTCATAATCAGTTTCTCATGCTAACCGTACGTATGAAATTACATATTTTACAAATTTATTCAGTTATGGTTCCCATTTCTGAGTAAACGACCGGAACGTAAAAAATACAACAAAGTAATAATAAAAAAACAAGACAGCTTTGAAGAAAGAGAGGCTCGATATCATCGTTTCATTGATGGCTCTGAGAAGAGCCGTTTGTTAATTTTTTTCAAATTTTATTCTCGCTATCAATCTGAAGTTTTCTTGTTGCCGCGGCGGTGGGCTTTGCCTGTTTTTTGGTGGTAGCCCATTTCGGTTTTTTAGATTCCTTGGCCTTTAGATGTTTTAACTTTTGTAGCCAGTTATCGACAAAGTATTATTAATTATTACAATTTGCATTTTGCACCAGAAAATTTGATTTTAGTGAAAAAATAGCAATCGCATAAAAGCCTAATAGCTTAGGCAGAAATGTTGCAACAGTTCTCTTCAATCTGCATACTTTCCTGACAAAAATGAAATTTTTCATAATCAGTTTCTCATGCTAACCGCGTAAACCGTGCGTATGAAATTACATATTTTACAAATTTATTCTCTTATGCTACCCATTTTTGGGTAAACGAGCGGAACGTGAATAAAAAAAAGACAACGGAGTAATAATAAAAAACAAGACAGCTTTGAAGAAAGAGAGGCTCGATATCATCGTTTCATTGATGGCTCTGAGAAGAGCCGTTTGTTAATTTTTTTTAAATTTGTTCTCGTCATCAAACTGAAGTTTTCTTGTTGCCGCTAGTCTTCTTTTTGTTGGCCGCGGCGGTGGGCTTTGCCTGTTTT